TTAGTTATTATTATTATTATTATTATTATTATTATTATTATTATTAAAGCCATGCTCTGAAAAGGGGAGAGATTCTTCTTCTGAGCATCCGCCATGATGGTCAAAATGCAATGATAGCAACATTTACAATATATTTAGGTGGCAATCCCCAACATATTTGACTGGGAGCAAATCCTGCAGAAATCGATGCGGATTAGCTTTCAGTTGAAATGTTTAGAGCTGGGCCGCTAATCTGCTTTAAGTGTAGATAGAGAAGCATCCTCAGGAGAAACGTGTACCACTGCATCATGGCTTCGATGGCACTCCCTAAAAGAAGAGCCTGGATTTAACTGGTTTCTCGATAAGGATTTTATGATATGTTTGGCTTGAGCTAAACCTGGCTCGCTTCCATCGAATCAATCAAAGGGACTGTGCAAACTTCGAAACGCGGTTATTTACGACTGACGGCAAGGAAAAACAAATGCATTAAAACGCAATAAACCTGTGTCATAAAAGACCGAGATCCCAAAGAAGGATAACTTGCAGAATAAATCAAGAGGTAAATATGGAAATACGTATCAGAGACACCTGATCTCGCTTTAAGGTAAACTGCTTGTCACTGTAAGCTTTGGATGCGTCTGCAATGTTGAATGAATGAAGTTTGGCACCATTTTAACTGCCGTGGCTCAATGTTGTGCGATTATGAGAGTTGTAGTTTTAATAGGGTCTTGCGCTTTTTCTGCCAAAGGGTGCTGGAACCTCGCCAAACTACAACTCCCACGATTCCATAGCATTGAGCCATGATTCTTAAAGCAGTATTGAACTGCATTAATTCACACACTCATATATAGAAAACTGGAATAACTACCGTATATACTCGAGTATAAGCCAACCCAAATATAAGCCGAGGCACCTAATTTTATCACAAAACACTGGGAAAACGTATTGACTCAAGTATAAGCCGAGCAGCTACTGGTAAATTTCAAAATAAAAATAGATACAACACAATTACATTAATTGAGGCATCAGTAAATTAAATGTATTTGAATATTTACATAAAATTATAATTTAAGATAAGACCGAGGAACTCTGATTAAACCATTATTATAACCTTCTTCAATGTAAATGGGCTGCTGACAGGTCTATGAAGACAGCTCCTGTGATCTGCTGCCTTTCAAAGCCATCTTCTTATGTACTGAGTCAGGTTCAGCACTTGCAATGTGCAGCTTTTGCCTTTTCTGAAGCCAGCTTGCTGTGGGATCAGACAAGGGTCTATTTTTTCTGTAATTCTATGCAAAATAAGTCTCTCCAGAACATGAGAGAAGAGGGACATGAGAGAAGCCTCGTCGCAGGATTGCAAGACATCCGAGCGTCCCCTGGGCAACGTCATCGTAGACGGCTGATTCTCTCGCCACAGAAGCGACCAGCATGCATGCAAGCAAGCAAAATAACCAACAGACCTTTTCAGGACCAACCATGACAATAATCTCAATCAACATCGAAGGCATGTCAGCTGCCAAAGAACAACTGCTCTATGAACTGTGCCGAGATAAGAAATGCGATGTGCTGTGTGTCCAAGAAACACACGGGGATGAACAACAGAAACGACACAAAGTTCCAGGAATGGTCTTAGTAGCGGAAAGACCACATGCGCAGTATGGAAGCGCCGTCTTTGTCAAACCAGGCCTCCAAGCCAGCAGTGCCCACAACACTGAAGAAAACAATATTGAGGTTCTAACAGTAGAGCTTAATAACATCACCATCACCTCCGTGTACAAGCCCCCAAATGAAGAGTTCTGCTTCTCCTCCCCCGAGAACTTTGACAGGCACCAAAGGGCGGTAGTAATTGGGGACTTCAACAGCCATAGCCACATATGGGGCTATGCTCAAGAGGATAAAAATGGAGAGGCTGTCCTGCCCTGGTCTGAACTGCACAAACTATCACTCATTCATGATAGTAAGCTCCCACCATCCTACAACAGTGGGAGATGGCACCGAGGATATAACCCAGACCTCTTATTTGTGAGCGACAGCATCGTACAGCAATGCACCAAATCAGTGGGACCACCAATCCCAAACACACTGCACCGACCAATAGTATGCCAACTGTTCCCAACTATAAGGCCTCAGGAAGTTCGATTTAAACCAAGATTCAACTTCAGAAAGGCAGACTGGACTAAATTCTCAGAAATGTTAGATGACATTATCACATCGGCCGTGCCTATCCCTGAGGAATATGAGCATTTTATTGAAATAGTGAAAACCTGCTCACGGGCCTCGATACCGAGAGGCTGCAGAACCAACTACCATCAGGGCATTATTCCTGAAACAGCTGCCTTGTTGGAAAACTATTACAGGCTCCACAACGAAGACCCATTTAGTGAGCAAACCCTTCAGGCAGCGCAGAGCATTGTGTCCTCCATCTCTGAAGCCAAGAAAGAACAGTGGATCAAGCTGATCACAGAGGTCGACATGGGCAGGAGCAGCCAGAAGGCGTGGAGGCTGCTGAGACAGCTGAGCAATGACCCCTCACAAACTAATACCCATGCCAACATAAAGGCAGATCAGATAGCACACCAACTCTTGAAGAATGGGAAACCCAACTTTGCCACCAAAGTAGGAAAGAAACCAATAGCCAGACAACCAGAGATTGAGAACAACAACCTCCATGAACCCTTTACACCTACTGAATTGGAAGTGGCTCTCAATAAATGTAAAAATGGCAAAGCAGCTGGCCTGGATGACCTACGGATGGAACAAATCAAGAACTTTGGTCCAAAAGCAAGGCGCTGGCTGCTGGAGCTGATGAACAACTGCACTGCATCCTGTCAGATCCCCAAAATCTGGAGGAAAGCAAGAGTCATCGGCATCTTGAAGCCAGGCAAAGACCGTAATGACTCCAAAAGCTACAGACCAATTTCCCTGCTGTGCCACCTCTACAAAGTTCTGGAGATCAAAAACATTAAAGCAATAACAGTAAACAGTAAAAACAGCACACCGTGACACAATAAAACTAGGCCGGGCAAATGTACTGGGTACAGATTAAAAAGTGCTGAGTATGCTGAGTGATATATAAGGATTTTTGGATAGGTGTGCCGATGTGCCTTCCCAGAATAGGAAATCTCCAATACCAAGTCCCAAGAGCACTTTATTAGAACTAAGATTGCCGCACACTGCACACTGCACTTACCCTATAATCCTTACATATCACCTGTCACATCAGCACTTTTAATTCTGTACCCATTACTCTGGCCCGGCCCAGTTTTATAGTGTATTGGTGTATTGTTTAATATTGCTTTAATTGTTTTTAATTTGCTTTAGGTTTTGTATTGTTATGTTGTGTATTGAGGCCTTGGCCTTTGTAAGCCGCATCAAGTCCTTCGGGAGATGCTAGCGGGGTACAATAAAGTTAATAATAATAATAATGGGTTGTTGTAGGTTTTTCCGGGCTATATGGCCATGTTCTGGAGGCAATTTTTCTCCTGACGTTTCTCCTGCATCTATGGCAAGCATCCTCAGAGGTAGTGAGGTCTGTTGGAACTAGGGAAAAAGGTTTATATATCTGTGGAATGACCAGGGTGAGACAAAAGACTTTTGTTTGCTGGGGCTAGCTGTGAATGTTTCAGCTGATCACCTTGATTAGCATTCAATGGCTTGGAAGTGCCTGGGGGGAATCTTTTGTTGAGAGTGATTTCATGTGCCTGTTTGTTTCCCCTCTGTTGTTTTTCTGCTGTGATTTTTGAGTTTTTTAATACTGGTAGCCAGATTTTGTTCATTTTCATGGTTTCTTCCTTTCTGTTGAAATTGTCCACATGCTTGTGGATTTCAATGGCTTCTCTGTGTAGTCTGACATGGTGGTTGTGGAGTGGTCCAGCATTTCTGTGTTCTCAAATAATATGCTGTGTCCAGGTTGGTTCATCAGGTGCTCTGCTATGGCTGATTTCTCTGGTTGGAGTAGTCTGCAGTGCCTTTCATGTGCCTTTCATAATAATAATAATAATAATAATAATAATAATAATAGGTGCAATGTGCGGACAATCTCAATCTCTAATAAACATGTTGCTGGGGTTTCCTATTCTGGAAAGGCACACCGGAATAGCCAGGTCTTCAAGCTCTTCCTAAAGACTGCCAACTTAGGAGCTTGTCTGATGTCCTTGGGGAGAGAGTTCCAGAGTCGGGGGGCTACCACAGAGAAGGCCCTGTCCCTCGTCCCCACCAGCCGAGCTTGCGATGCAGGTGAGATCGTGAGCAGGGCCTCTCCAGATGAACGAAGAGAGTGTGTAGGTTGGGATAGGCGGGGTAGAAATGCTGGAAATTATATATATATATATATATATATATATATATATACACACACACACACACACACACACAATATATTATATTTGCTGCATTATATGAGTCTACAGTCTCCTTGAAGGAGTTAGGGGTGGTGACGGTTGACAAGATGCTCTGGCATGGGCTGGTCCATGAGGTCACGAAGAGTCGGAGACGACTGAACGAATGAACAGCAATGACTCTACATTAGTATGGCTTTCCCCATTAATCTGGATTCAGAAGAGCCTGCCAACAGCATGAAGAGAGAGATGGGAGTCAAACTGGGCAAAAGTTTTGGTTTTGGACTACAGTACCTACAATCCCCTTGAAAATAAGGCCAATAGCCATTCTGTCTGCAATTACTGAACATCTAATACAATTAGCATAGAGAGATGACAGGGGAGGACTACTTAAATGTAGGAGGCGTGGCCTAGCAGCAGGGGGCGGGGTGTTGATTTGCATACCAGCTTCCCGGCCACGCCCCCTTCTGTTCAGCACGCAAAGCCAGAGCAGTGGGCGTGGCCTAGAAGTGAGGCGTGGTTTAATTAGCATGCGGCTTCTCCGGCCACGCCCCCTTCTCGGCACGCCGCTTGCCTTTATCAGCTGTGGGCGTGGCCTCGAAGCGGGGCGGGGCTAGATTAGCATACCGGCTCCCGGCCACGCCCCCTCCTCCTCAACGCTCCGCCGGCGCCTTCCAAGCTCACCTGCGCACCACCACGGCCGCCATGAGGACCAAGAGGACGGCCCCCAAGATCCTCCGCCGCCGCCGGCCCCCGCAGCTCCACATCCCTGGGAAGAGGCCCGGCCCGGCCCCGTTACCAGGGACTCCAGCTTCCCCCACCATTGGCGCACCGCTACGCACCCGGGCTCCTCCCATTGGAGAAAGGCGGGTCCTTCCTCGGCCGCCATTGGCTGCCGCCGAAGAGGAGGCGGGGCTTTAGGAGAGAGTCGGTGGCACTGGGTGGTGGCGTTCCCAAAGAGGCGGGCCGGCGATCCCTCTCCTGATTGGAGGGCTGCCCAATCCGTCACGCCGCACTCCCCGCCCCTCCCTCCCCCTTACTCACCTGTTGCCATGGCGATACTATCAGGCCAAGGCCTTGAGGGAGAGGTTTATTTATTTATTTACTTTATTGTTTGAGAACACAGAAATGCTGGACCACTCCAACAACCACCATGTCAGACTACACAGAGAAGCCATTGAAATCTGCTTTCATAGAATCATAGATCAAAGAGTTGGAAGAGACCTCATGGGCCATCCAGTCCAACCCCCTGCCAAGAAGCAGGAATATTGCATTCAAAGCACCCCTGACAAATGGCCATCCAGCTCTGTTTAAAAGCTTCCAAAGAAGGAGCCTCCACCACACTCCGGGGCAGAGAGTTCCACTGCTGAACGGCTCTCACAGTCAGGAAGTTCTTCCTCATGTTCAGATGGAATCTCCTCTCTTGTAGTTTGAAGCCATTGTTCCGCGTCCTAGCCTCCAAGGAAGCAGAAAACAAGCTTGCTCCCTCCTCCCTGTGGCTTCCTCTCACATATTTATACATGGCTATCATATCTCCTCTCAGCCTTCTCTTCTTCAGGCTAAACATGCCCAGCTCCTTAAGCCGCTCCTCATAGGGCTTGTTCTCCAGAACCCTTAATCATTTTAGTCACCCTCCTCTGGACACTTTCCACCATTGCTCAATAGTATACCTTAAAATATCCACACCAACAACTACCATGTCAGACTACACAGAGAAGCCATTGAAATCCACAAGCATGTGGACAATTTCAACAGAAAGGAAGAAACCATGAAAATGAACAAAATCTGGCTACCAGTATTAAAAAACTCTAAAATTACAACAGCAAAACAGCAGAGAGGAAACAACCAGGCACATCTTAACACCTCTCAACAAAAGATTTTCCCAGGCTCAGCCAGGCCTTCAAATGCTAATGAAGGTGGTCAGTTGAAACATTCACACCTAGCTCCAGCAGAGAAGAGCTCCTTTGCCCCACCCCAGCCATTCCACAGATATATAAACCCATTGTCCTAATTCCAACAGACCTCACTACCTCTGAGGATGCTTGCCATAGATGCAGGCGAAACGTCAGGAGAAATGCCTCTAGAACATGGCCATATAGCCCAAAAAACCCACAAGAACCTAGTGATTCCAGCCATGAAAGCCTTCGACAACAATACAAGAAATGCCTCTAGAACATGGCCCGATAGCCTGAAAAAACTTACAAGAACCTATTTATTTACTTTGCTTGTATACCGCAGTTTCTCAGCCCGTAGGCGACTCAACGCGGTTCACAACAAGAGCAAAAGACAATCATAACAACATACAATTTAAAAACCATTAACAGCATAGTATACAAAGTAATGACATATCAATAACAACACATTAACGTCTCGTAACTAGAATCGTGATCCAATTTGTCGTCCATAATTCCGTTCCTATATTCATCGTGTACATTGCACTGTTTATCTGAATGCCTGTTCAAACAGCCAGGTTTTATTTATTTATTTATTTTATTTACTTTGCTTATATACCGCTGTATCTCAAGCCCGAAGGCGACTCACAGCGGTTTACGGCAGTAAAAAACAGTAAAACAGCAGTAGTTCATACACATATAACAAATTAACTTAACATATTATCCACAAGTTACTAATAAACAATTACAATACACAGTTATTACAAAAACCGCACCGAAACGTCTCATCATCCAAGCGTAGTCCAAGTTCGTCGTCCATTGTTCCATTCCTATGTTCAGTTACCAGATTGCACTAGATTACTCGAACGCCTGCACAAACATCCAGGTCTTCAACTTTCTCCGGAATGTCATGAGAGATGGCGCCAGCCTAATGTCCGCAGGAAGGGTGTTCCACAGCCGAGGGGCCACCACAAAGAAGGCCCTGTCCCTCGTCCCCGCCAGCCGTGCCTGTGATGCAGGCGGGATCGAGAGCAGGGCCTCCCCAGAAGATCTTAGAGTCCTGGTGGGTTCATAGGCCGAGATACGTTCGGATAGGTAGTTGGGCCAGAACCATTTAGGGCTTTAAAGGCCAACGCCAGCACTTTGAATTGAGCCCGGTAGCAAATCGGCAGCCAGTGGAGCTGGTGCAGCAGAGGAGTTGTATGCTCCCTGCGCTCCGCTCCTGTTAGTATCATGGCTGCCGAGCGTTGGACTAGTTGGAGCTTCCGAGCCGTCTTCAAAGGCAACCCCACGTAGAGAGCGTTGCAGTAGTCTAAACGGGATGTAACCAGAGCGTGGACTACCGTGGCCAAGTCAGACTTCCCAAGGTACGGGCGCAGCTGGTGCACAAGCTTTAATTGTGCAAATGCTCCCCTGGTCACCGCTGAAACCTGGGTTTCCAGGCTCAGCGATGAGTCCAGGATCACACCCAAGCTGCGAACCTGCGTCTTCAGGGGGAGTGCGACCCCATCCAACACAGGCTGTAACCCTATGCCCTGTTCGGCCTTGCGACTGACCAGGAGTACCTCTGTCTTGTCTGGATTCAGTTTCAATTTGTTCGCCCTCATCCAGACCGTCACAGCGGCCAAGCACCGGTTCAGGACCTGGACAGCCTCCTTAGTAGCAGGTGGAAAGGAGTGACAGAGTTGGACATCATCCGCGTACAGATGACATTGGATTCTTTGTCTGCACTTGAGTGCCTGCAAAAGTGTGGCCCTTTTTTGGTGGCTGCAAAAATACATATTCTTCAGTGGGAGCAGTCTGGATATGCTCAGAGGAGCCCTTTTCTTAATAATAATAGTAATTTTATTTATTTCTTTTTTTAAAAAAAATCTTTATTGAATATTTACAAGTTACAAGGTTAATTTTTTTAAAGAGAAGGGAAAAAAGAAAAGAGAGAGAGCAAAAAAAAGAAATATGTAGGGAAGAAGGGGGAGGGAGGGACCATGAGGAGGAGGGAGGGAAAGAAAAATAAATCTTACATATATACTAGCCGTCCCCTGCCACGCCTTGCTGTGGCCCACTCTGGTGGTCATGGGGGTCTGTGTGGGAGGTTTGGCCCAATTCTGTCAGTGGTGGGGTTCAGAATGCTCTTTGATTGTAGGTGAACTGTAAATCCCAGTAACTACAACTCCCAAATGTCAAGATTCTGTTTTCCCCAAACTCCACCAGTTTTCACATTTGGGCATATGGAATATTCGTGCCAAGTTTGGTCCAGATCCATCATTGTTTGAGTCCACAGTGCTCTCTGGATGTAGGTGAACTACAACTCCAAAACCAAACGACACTGCCCACCAAACCCTTCCAGTATTTTCTGTTGGTCATAGGAGAAATGTGTGCCAAGTTTGGTTCAATTCCATCGTTGGTGGGGTTCAGAATGCTCTTTGTAGGTGAACTATCAATCCCAGCAACTACAACTCCCAAATGACAAAATCAAATTTTTGAGTGAAGGACATATATTCGGTTGTTAGGTGTCTTGTGTCCAAATTTGGTGTCAATTCGTCCAGTGGTTTTTGAGTTCTGTTAATCCCACAAACGAACATTACATTTTTATTTATAGACTAGCTGTCCCCTACCACGCGTTGCTGTGGCCCAGTCTATGTATATGTGTTTTGTGTGTGTGTATATTTGTGTATATATGTGTGTGTTTGCGTGTGTGTGTATATATATATATATATATATATATATATATATATGGGTGTATATATGTGTGGGTGTATATATGTGTGTATATATTTGTGTGTTTATATATTTACATGCATATTGTGTATACGTGTGTGCTTGTCTATATGCATATTTTCGTGTATATATGTATGTATGTATGTGTATATGTATGTATATGTGCATGCATGTGTATATGTATATGTGTATATATGTATGTGCATGTGTATGTGTGCCGATCACCACTGGGACCACCTTGGCTGGCTTGTGCCAGAGTCTTTGCAGTTCGATCTTTAAATCCTCATATCATATCAGCTTTTCCAGTTGTTGTTATTATCATTATCCTTGTAAAACTATAACTGCCAAGGATTCATTAGTACTGAGCCATGGCAGTGAAATGTAGTGTCAAACTGCATTCATTCCACAGTGTAGATGCACCTGGTGATGAGTCAAGCTACAGTATTTATTTGGAGAGAGCAGCATTTTGGGGCATTCTGCTGAAGACCTTCAGGGCCCTTAGAAAGATCAGTAATGCAATGCAAAAAGAAAAATAATAATGCAAAAGCAAATGAGCAACTGAACAAGAACAAAGAAGGTTGGCTCATTAGGATCATTTATCCTGGAAATAAAAAGAGAGGGGAAGAAGCAGAAAACCATTTATTGATTTCAGCATTGTGGAAGAGAAAAGGAAATCCACTTGAATCAGCACTCCCAAATCCTTGCATTATTGGATAGCTGAAAATTGTGGTGCGTCTAAAGCACTTCCTGCCGCAATACCACCAGGTTCAATGATATAAAAAAAATCATTAGTCACAATTGAAAGGGAGAGGGCAAGAAAGAGATCTCCTTCCCATCCTCTTCCCTGTTGTTTGACCTAAAAAAAAGGAGATAGTTCCCAAAAAGGGTAGGGGAAACGAGTTTAAAAGGCCTTTGTGGTGTGATATGCGCTCCATGGGCATGAAACACTGAACCGATCAGCTCCCACCCCCAGAAAGGATTGCTTGGGGCACCAGCGTGTTATAAAGCCAGTGCTTTGTAACGTCAAGTCAGAGCAGATGGTCAAAGTTAGAACAAAAGACTCATTTGAGAGCGTTCGCCAAGCGCTGCCCGATACAGAAACGCAGAAAGGTGCCTTGAGCTGAATATCTAACTGGGCTGCCTCCAGGAAAAACAGTCCTCCCCAGTGCAGTTCCATCACTTCTTCCCCATCAATGGCTATTTAAAAATCAAATCTTCTTTTGGAGTGCAATGGGCAAGAAACCCAACTCTGGAGTTAGTCCTGTAACAGGCTCCTGGCCACGATCATCTTCATCACTTCGTTGGTACCTATAGCAAGAGAAGGCGGAGAAAAACAAAAAGAGGGAGACAGGTGGATATTTTTCTCAAACACATTATTATCAGTGTTGGCACTGCACACAATATCTCTTTGTAGGACCCAGGATCAGCAAAGGAAGGCTTTCTCTTAGTCCCATCACAAAACAGAGCCTTCACGGTGGTGGCTCACAAGTTTTTTTTATTTCGCGTCAGGAGTGACTTGAAAAATTGCAAGTCGTTGCTGGTGTGAGAAAATTTGCCATCTCCAAGGACATTGCGCAGGGGATACCCAGATGTTTTGATGTTTTGCCATCCTTGTGGGAGGCTTCTCTCATGTCCCCGCATGGGGAGCTGGAGCTGACAGAGAGAGCTCATCTATATTCTCCCTAGATTCAAACTCGTGACCTGTCGGTCTTTAGTCCTGCTGGCACAAGGGTTTAACCCACTGCGCCACCGGGGTCTCTGGCTCCCAAGTTGTAAACCTCCCTTATTTATTGATCTTATTTATTTACCTTATAATTATATATTTATATTACATGTAATATTACTAATAATATTACAATATAATTGTATAGTACAATATAGTGATGTATAGCGCTGATATTGTACTGTGCTCATGGTATAATGTATTGTGTGTGTGTGTGTGCGTGTGTATATATACACACACACACACATACACATATATATCTTGTAAGCCACTCTGAGTCCCCTTCGGGGTGAGAGGGGTGGCATATAAATGTCTCAAATAAATAATAAATAAATACTTTTCATCCCTCCCTATAGTTACTCAAGGTAGCTAACCATGCCATAACATAACCCAATAGGATTTAAAAACAAGGCAAACACATGTGAATGCACAAATTAATGTGTGTGTATGTGTGTGTTATAGATCCAAAAGTTAAAATAAAAAAATACAACTAAAATTACATTTTAAAACTAACCTCCCAAATTCCACCAAGCAGCCTGCCACTCATTATTCCTCAAATGCCTGTGTACTTTTTAATGCTGTTTTTAATTTAATTTAATTTGTGTGTGTTTGTTTTTTATAAATCAAAAGTATAAATTGGTTGTGTTTTAACTCTTGTATAAAAATCATACTGAGTTTTTAAAACCTTATGTATTACTTTGCATTCCATGTGAGATAAATACACCCATAAATAAAGAATAGCAGCAGTGGAAAACAAAGGCCACATAATGCCATAGAGAATAATAATAATAATAATATAATTATGTATTTATATTACATGTAATATTACTAATAATATTACGATATAGTGGTATGGTGCAATATAGCAATGTTTAATGCTGATATTGTACTATGCTAATAATATAATATATTGTATGTAATATATACCTTGTACGCCGCTCTGAGTCCCCTTTGGGCTGAGAAGGGTGGCATATAAATGTCATAAATAAATAAATGAACTGCATTATATGGTCAGTGTAAATGGCTGAGTCTACAGTGACCATATAATGCAGTTACAAACTAAATTCTGTGGCAGTGTAGATGGAGTCAGAGACCAGAGATCTTGAATCCTGCTTTCTTTCCATTATATCACTAGCTCATCATGAGACTCAGGTTGCATGCTGCAGTTGTTGTCAGGGAGGAAAGGAGATCAGAGGAGCTTAGGATGCTGTGACCCATCTAATATGGCCAAGACCATGGTCACAGCACTCTTATGAGTTACCTTCCAATATCTGGTGCACTCTGATGTCTCGCATAAACTGCTGGACGGCATAATCCTTCAGGTACCCGTAGCCACCGTGCAACTGCAGGGCCTGGTTGCAGATCTGCACAGGAGAAGATGCATTTAGATTAAGAGAGAGCCATGGCAGGGACTTCACAATTAAGGAGTACAGAAGAGGGAGAAGGGACAGAGAGTTATAAATGCCACCTGAAAAGGCAGAGCACTGCAAAGACGCACTTCTCAGGTCTGAAAGTCAGCACTTCTCATACACTGTTAAGCTCCATCTGCACTGCTATATAAAGCAGTTTAACTGCATTGAAGTACATTAGAGGAGTCTAAAGTTTTATCTTTTTGTTTCAACTATGCTATGCCTCGACCCACAAGGAGAGGCAGATAATAAATAAATAAAAAAAATAAATTATCCATAGATGTATTATGCAGGCAAAATGTAAGTAGAGAGAATACTTCTGGAACATGACAATATAGCCCAGAAAACTCACAACAAACCATTCACTCTGGCCATGAAAGCCTTTGACAATAGATTATTATTATTATTATTATTATTATTATTATTATTGACACAAAAGCACAGTATGTCACAGCAAACGAGATCTATATGCTGGATTTGGTATCACGAAATCACAAGTCGAACACTTCCCAAGCGTCTAGGACTGTGTGATGTATTATTATTATTATTATTATTATTATTATTATTATTATTATTATTATTTTACTGACACAAAAGTACAGTATGTCACAGCAAATGAGATCTATATCTCATTCGTATCACAAAATCACAAGTCGAACACTTCCCAAGCGTCTAGGACTGTATGATGTATATTTTCGAATGATGTGCGCAGATCCAAGTAAGGTGGCCTTTTGCAGTTGACAGATCATGATTTTGTCGAGGTTTATTGTTTCCAAATGCCGGCTGATGACCACTGGGCCCACCTGTACTGGTTTATGCCAGAGCCTTTGCAGTTCGATTTCGAGGTCTTGATAGCGGTTGAGTTTTTCCTGTTGTTTTTCCTCAATGCGACTGTCACCTGGTATGGTGACATCAATAATCTAGACTTTTTTCTTTTCTACAATCGTGATATTATTATTATTATAATTATTATTATTATTATTTGAAACACAACAAGATGAGTCCACAGCAGACACTCTGCTGGCTGTTGTATTGGATCATACGTTGGACACTTCCCAAGTGTCTAGGACTGTGTGATGTATTGGCGAATAATGCATGCTGATCCCAGTAAGGTGGTCTTCTGTAGCTGGTAGATGTTAATTTTTTCAGTACCAATTGTGTTTAAGTGCAGGCCAAGGTCTTTAGGCACTGCACCCAGTGTGCAAATTCACCACTGGGACCACCTTGACTGGCTTGTGCCAGAGTCTTTGCAGTTCGATCTTTAAATCTTCATATCGTGTCGACTTTTCCAGTTGTTTCTCTTCAATCTTGCTGTCACCTGGGATTGAAACATCGACAATCCATACTTTGTTTTTTAACACGATTGTGAGGTCAGGAGTCTTGTGCTCCCAAACTCTTGTCTGTCTGAATTCGGAAGTCCCAAAGTAGCGTGACGTTTTTATTCTCTATTATTATTATTATTATTATTATTATTATTATTATTATTATTATTATTATTCTGCTATAGAATGCAGTCCAATGCAATTAAGCTGCACTATGAAACTGCACTGCATGTCAGTGTAGATGGGGCTTCAGGAATTTCTCAAAACTGCATTTAAAAAGGCAGCAGCATTATAAGAGAATGCAACCCTACCATCTAGTGGCCAAGAGCACAAACTACTGGACAATGATTTGAATAAGCAAAACATATATATAGTCAGCCTTCAACATTCGCTGCAATTAGGGGCACAGGCCTCCCAAGAAAGTTAAAGCCTTACATTTAAAAATCTCAACTTTTTTCTCCCTCTAGGTCCTACAGCATGACTCTCTAGTTAACTTTCCCAGCTAAGGACTGCACCTACCGCAAAGCACTCATCCGTGGCAAAGAGCTTGGCCATAGAGCACAAGGCCACGGCATCTTCCCGCTCCTCTTGCAGGGCTTTGGCCGCATTGCGCACCATCAACCGAGCCGCCACTAAGCGGGTGGCCATCTCGGCCAGCTGGAACTGGAGGTACTGTCAGGAGACACAGCATCAGGTTTCGGATCACAAAATATTAGGAAGCAGGGGGGGCAGTGGACTCAGTCGCCCAACCTGCCTCACAGGGGCAGAGAGAATGAAGCAGGGACAAGGAGAAGCCAACATGGGGAGGAAACAAGGAGCAGAAAGATCCCAAATAATAAATATTCACCTGATAGTTGGCCAGGACGTCTCCAAACTGTTTACGGACCTTAAGGTGATCCCGAGCCAGCAGGATCGAAGCATGGGCGGCCCCTAGAGAACAAGAAGCTGTGGAGGAAGGAGAAGGATGATACTTTTTGCATGGAATGTTTGCACTACATTCAGAAAAAGAAGAAGAACAACAACAACAACAACAACAAGTACAGCAGCAGCAGCAACAACAACAACTGTACTTTTATACCCTACCTCCATCTCCCCGAAGAGACTCGGGACGGCTTACATGGGGCCAAGCCCAAACACATACAGTGAAAAACATAGCAAATAATATATTAAAACCATATAAAATGGCATTATAACAATAGTAAGACAAACATAATAAGCAGCAACCAGAAATACTTCAAGTCTCATTTTGGGGCGGAGGGGGTGCTGGTGTGCAAACAAGTTAGAAGATAGGCTGGTCAATAAGATGCATGCCAATAAGGTAGCAGCCAATAGTGAAAGGACCAAGGCAGTGACATATCCGGCCCACCCCCTGTTTGGGTATCAACCAGCACGCCAACTTAAATCAAGAAATAGTTTTCTAAGATCTACAGAGACACTCGCTGGAACACCTCAGCAAGCGAGAATCCAAAAGTGGCAGGCTCAAACCCAGAACTTCAACCAATGGCTGATACCAAATGAGAGAATCCCCCCCCTGGGCACACAGAAAACTTGGAAGGCGCTGAACAGACTGCGCTCTGGCACCACGAGATGCAGAGCCAATCTTGAGAAATGGGGTTACAAAGTGGAATCCACGACATGCGAGGGTGGAGAAGAGCAAACTACAGACCACCTACTGCGATGCAACCTGAGCCCTGCCACATGCACAATGGAGGACCTCCTTATAGTAACACCAGGAGCACTCCAAGTGGCCAGCTACTGGTCAAAGGACATTTAATCAACTACCAAGCTTGCAAACTTTGTGTTTTGTTTCTTTGTTTGTTGTATTACATTTGTTTTGTTTTTGTGGCGGACAGTGGCTTCTGTGTGTATAGCATAATGCATCTAGATTTAAATGTCAAAAGAGTTGTCCATTGGACCTATCCCTAAAAAGAGGTTCAGCATCCTAAGAATCCTTTTAAATTCATGTTAAAACCTCGGATGGACCCACAACTCCCACTGAGCCACCCTGGCCAATACTTCTGCCTTCCCTGTTGACTCTTACCAATGTTAATTCGGCCCCCATTCAAGCCCTTCATGGCGATGTTGAAGCCCTGGCCTTCTTCACCAAGGCGGTTGGCTACTGGGACGGCACAGTCCTCAAACACCACGGCTCGAGTCGGCTGAGAGTTCCAGCCCACCTGACAGAGAAGGAGGGAGAAATGCACACCAGGCTCAGATGCTGGAGCTGCTGAACCCAAAGCCAACAGACATAATAAATGGCAGCTGGGAAGGTGGCTTTCCCTCTCTGAACCCTCTGGATGGGGATATTCCAGTCAAACGTAAAGATGGACTCTCGGTTTAGAGTTCTGTATATCTTCAGGGCAGTTCAGTGTTGGCAACAATTCAATGCCATTGATAAAAAGAGTATAAAACATTAAAATTGACCCTCCCCTGATAAAACATTAAACATTATTAAACACACCACATAAAATAACATCACCTATCACAAAGATACACAGCTGTTGTCGTAAACAGTCCTGGATCATTACACTTTCAACATTTACTTCAACTTTAAATATGATGGACTGAACACTTGGTTTTACAGCCAGATCTTTAGCTATCTCCTAAAGGCCAGGAAGGAGGGGGCCAACCTGATCTCACTCAGAAGGGAGTTCCATAGCCGTGGGGCACCACCGAGAAGGCCCTGTCCCTCGTCCTCACCAGTCGTGCCCGTGAAGCCAGTGGGGCTGAGAGCAGGACCTCCCTGGAAGATCTTACTCTACGAACTGGTTCATAGAGGGAGATATGTTCAGACAGGTAAGTTGGACTGGAGTCGTTTAGGATTTTATAGGCTAAAGCCAACACTTTGAATTGTGCTCAGTAGCTAATAGGCAGCCAATGGAGTTGCTACAAAAGCGGGGTTGTATGCTCCCTGTGTGACGCCCCAGTTAACAACATGGCTGCAGCGTGTTGGAGTATTTGCAGCTTCTGAACAGTCTTCGAAGGCTGCCTTGGAACGTCCTCTCTCCTCCTCTGGAAATTCTTAAACAGAGTCTAGATGGCTAGTCGCCAGAGGAAGGCAACTAAAATGATCAAGGGTCTGGAGAACAAACCCTATGAGGAGCGGCTTAAAAAGCTAGGCATGTTTAGCCTTCAGAAGAGAAGGCTGAGAGGACACATGAAACCCATGTATAAATATGTGAGGAGAAGTCATAGGGAGGAGGAAGCAAACTTGTTTTCTGCTGCCCTTGAGACTAGGACGCGGAACAATGACTTCAAGCTACAAGAATGGAGATTCCATCTGGACATTAGGAAGAACTTCCTGACTATGAGAGCTGTTCAGCAGTGGAACAGCTGAACAGAGGAAGTAACTGGTCAAACCACTTCTGGGTTTCCTTGCTTGAGAAAATCCTATTACATTCAAGAGAGCAAGCTTGTTTTCTGCTGCCCTGGAGACTAGGACGCAATGGAATAATGGTTTCAAACTACAGGAAAGGAGATTCCACCTGAACATTAGAAAGAACGTCCTGACTGTGAGAGCTGTTCAGCAGTGGAACTCTCTGCCCCGAAGTGTGGTGGAGGCTCCTTCTTTGGAGGCTTTTAAACCGAGGCTGGATGGCCATCTGTCGGGGGTGCTTTGAATGCAATTTTCCTGCTTCTTGGCAGGGGTTGGACTGGATGGCCCATGAGATCTCTTCCAACTCTATGATTCTATGATTTGTCACGTGGGCTTTGATTGTGCTTCTCCTGGAGGGCAGGATAAGGTTCGACTGGATGGCCCTTGGGATCTCTTCCAACTGTATGATTCCATGATGATATGCCAAGAAAACCACAACCAAAAATGACTTGAAGGTACATAACAGGGTCTTGCTCTGAGGCTGAGAGGGTATGATTCGACCAAGCAGGTTTCCATGACTGATCAGATACTGAAACTCTGGTCCCCAAAGCAATGACACCAGGTGGGATTTTGAATACTGAGGTATAACTTAATTAAGCACTATTTTCCAGTTCAGAAGAAAACATCCAGTAAAAAAAGAGCCACCAAGCTGTTCCGCAGTATGGCTTTCTGTTGATCTCAACAGCACTCGAAGTCTCTTACCTTCCTCTCCTTTTTCCCAAAGCTCAGCCCAGGGGTCCCTTTCTCCAGCACCAGGCAGGAGATGCCCTTGGGGCCCAGGCCTCCCGTCCGGCACATCACCACATAGAGATCCGTGTCTCCACCACCACTGATGAAAGCCTGGCGCGGGAAGGACAAGAGGGAAAGGTTATTACACAATGGCAGAAACACTCTTCTTCAAAAGTTCTGCTTACCAGTGGAACCAAGATGTTGCTGCAAATGGCAGAGCTTGGAAAGGTTACTTGCTTTTAGAAGACAGCTCCAAGATTCTCTAGGCATCACTAGGTCCAACTTCTGGCAAAAGTGTACCATAGAATCACCAATAAGACCTAGAAAATGCCTAGAGAAGACATATTTTGTCAGACATGGGTAAATGAAACCACAAAGACTGGTCCCACGGATATATGGGGTAGCACTGTACAAGCACTTTGGCTAGTTAGGTCAGGCAAAGCCATATTCATTTCGCCTTCAAGTACCCATGTTGAGGAAAAGGTGGGGTACAAATTAATAAAATAAACATGATTTACAAACTGCACTTTTTTTTCAAACTCTGGATCTGAGTGGGGCTACCCATTTCTACATTGCAGAACAGAGATAGTGAAACCTGGCCTTCCTCTCATGAGTAGATCTCACTCATTTCAAGTGGAGTTGTTGTTGTTGTTGTTATGTATTTATTTATTTATTTATTTATTTATTTATTTATGGCATTTAGGGGACTCAGAGTGGCTTACAAGTTATATGTGCATACACTATATTATATTATTAGCATAACACAATATTAGTATTATATTACCATATTGTATTATACCACTACAATGCAATATTATTAGTAATATTTCACGTAATATATAAAAGTATTATATTATTATATTGTATTATTCTTAGTATTATATTGTATTACAATAATATGATCAATATTATATGTAAATACATTATATTATATTATTAACATAGCACAATATTAGTATTAATATTATATTGTACTATACCACTATACTGCAATATTATTAGCAATATTACATGTAATATATAATATACTGTATAATTATTATATTATTAGTAGTATTACATTGCATTACAATATTATGATCAATATTATAGGTACATACACTATGTAAAATTACTAGCACAGCACAATATTAGTACTATGTATTCCTATATTGTATTATACCATTATACTGCAATATTAGAAGTCCCCAGTGGCACAGTGGGTTAAACCCCTGTGCCGGCAAGGACTGAAGACCGACAGGTCACAGGTTCGAATCCAGGGAGAGGCGGATGAGCTCCCTCTATCAGCTCCAGCTCCTCATGCAGGGACATGAGAGAAGCCTCCCACAAGGATGATAAAACATCAAAATCATCCGGGCATCCTCTGGGCAATGTCCTTGCAGACAGCCAATTCTCTCACACCAGAAGCGACTTGCAGTTTCTCAGGTCGCTCCTGACATGACAAATAAATAAATAAATACAGGAGAGACAGAGTTTTTTTTTTGTCGTGTCAGGAGCGACTTGAGAAACTGCAAGTCGCTTCTGGTGTGAGAGAATTGGCTGTCTGCAAGGATGTTGCCCAGGGGACGCCCGGATGATTTGATGTTTTTATCATCCTTGTGGGAGGCTTCTCTCATGTCCCCGCATGAGGAGCTGGAGCTGATAGAGGGAGCTCATCCGCCTCTCCCCAGATTCGAACCTGCGACCTGTCTGTCTTCAGTCCTGTCAGCACAGGGGTTTAACCCACTGCGCCACCGGGGGCTCCAGATGTAATATAATATACAATTATTATATTGTATTATTATTAATACTATATTGTATTACAATATTATGATCAATATTTTATGTACATGCAATACATTATTAGCATAGCACAATATTAGTAGTATATATTATTATATTGTACTACAGCATTATACTGCAATATTATTAGTAATAGTAAACGTAAAAGGTTTCCCCTGACATTAAGTCCAGTCGTGTCCAAGTCTGGGGGTTGGTGCTCATCTCCATTTCTAGGCTGAAGAGCCGGCGTTGTCTGTAGACACCTTCAAGGCCATGTGGCTGACATGACTGCATGGAGCACCGTTACCTTCTCACCAGAGCAGTACCTATTGATCTACTCAAATTTCCATGTTTTCAAACTGTATTAGATATAATATATAATATACAATTATTACATTGTATTATTATTAGTATTATATTGTATTGTATTATAACATTATGATAAACATTATATGTACAGTACATACAATATATTATATTATTAGCAAAGGACAATATTAGTATTATATATTATTATTATGTCTTTTCTTTCTAGAAAGAAAAGTTGGTACCTTGGAACCATTTAGGATGTAAGTGTCTCCATCCCTCTTGGCCGACGTTAGCAAAGACGCAGCATCACTGCCACTGCCTGTTTGGGGAAGAGAGAAACGAACAAACAAACAAAAGAAAGAAAGAAAGAAAGAAGAGAATCCTTAGTCTGAAAAGGGTTTGTGACACTTCACCCAGCAAGGCATACTAGATCAAAGTGTTAGAGGAACTAGGTTAGGCTTGTGAGTGGTTTACTCTCTTAGCTCTGGATCAATCGTTGCAGCTAAAGAAAGAGAGATAAATTAGAGAGTTTTTGGTTCTACTGTCTTCCTCGCCAAGAATTCATTGGATGGCTTAAAGTAAGCTGCTTTCCCAATATTTCACCAAAAATGAAATATTAGAGGAACAGCTCTAATATAGAATGGAAGCAGTTAGTCACCACTTCAACTGCTATGGCTCAATGCTATGGAATAATGGGAGCAGTAGTTTTACAAAGCCTTTAGCCTTCTCAAGGAAAGGTGTGCTACAGATGACCATTCCCAGTATGCTATAGCATTGAAGTGGTGTCAAACTGCATTCATTCTACGGTGTAGATCAAGCATAGGCAAACTTTGGCTCTCTATGTGTTTTGGATTTCAGCTCCCACAATTCCTAACATGCCTGGTGTCTGCTGGCTTCACTTAACAGTGTCATCTGGTTTGTGTTGTTGTAGGTTTTTCGGGCTGTATGGCCATGTTCTAGAAACATTATCTCTGTTGTGACACAGCTGGAATCAGAGAGTGTTTCTGACGAGGATGATGGGACTCAGGTTCACAGTTTGGTTCAAGATGTACCTGCTACAGACAGTGAAGAAGAAGTGTAGTTTCCCATAACAAGGCATGAGAGTGTGGAAACTGAAGATAGCATCCAGGAGCAGATTGACTCCGAAAGAGAGGATAGCTCTTTGCCTAGTTCTCAACCTGATAATGAGCAAGCAGGAAAACAGGCTGCTAACAAGCAGATTGACCTTGATGATACAGGAACTTTAGATAGGGCCGCCCAGTTAGAATTCCGTGTTCGAAGGAGTGAAAGGATAGCTAACAAGAGGGAGGCCAGAGGCCAAAGAAACACCATGTTTTGCAAAGGGTATGAAACAGGGAGTTTGAGACCAGATTTTTGTCAAAGCAACTTTTGCGTTTACCTAAGGAGCTTGCTTAAGCTAGGCTGGATTTACTTTGCAGTCATTGTGTTCATGGTTCCAGGACTTTGTCATGTTCTCTTGGGTCTTGCCTTGTTGATGACTATTGGATTATGCTTCAAGTGCTCAGTTATCCTGATCTTTTGAAACATTACCTTTACTTTTAAGAACTTTTTACCTTTTACTTTTAATAAACCATAAAGACTACAGACTGTGTGCTGCTTGATGTCTTAAGCAAGGTGATTGTACTCTGAGGTGTGACACTCTCCAGACATTTTGCCTGCATCTATGGGAAGCATCCTCAGAGGTTGTGAGGTCTGTTGTAAACTAGGAAATTGGGTTTATATATCTGTGGAAGATCCAGAGTGGGAGAAAGAATTTTTGTTTGTTGGAGCTAGGTGTGAATGTTTCAATTGGCCACCTTGATTAGCATTTGATGGCCTGGCAGTTTTTAGGTATGGTTACTGTCTGGAAAATTCCTTTGTTGAGAGGTGATTAGGTGTTCCTGATTGTTTCTTGTCTGGAGTTCCCCTGTGTTTGAGTTTTGTTTTTTATTTACTGTTATAATTTTAGAGTTTTTTAGTACTGGTAGCCAGATTTTGTTCATTTTCATGTTTTCTTCCTTTCTGTTGAAATTGTCCACAGAAATATAAACCCAATTTTCCTAATTTCCAACAACAACAACAAAACTTTATTTATATACCGCTCTATCTCCCCAAGGGGATTCAAAGTGGTTTCCAAGTGACATAATCAATACATACAAAGAGAACAGCATGAACATAAAATTAACTAGACAAAATAAGCATTAAAAACCACAATAGCACATATATTTAGTTTCCAACAAACATCACAACCTCTGAGGATGCCTGCCATAGATGCATGTGAAACATCAGGAGAGAATGCTTCTAGAACATGGCCATACAGCCTGAAAAACCTACAACAACCGAGTGATTCCAGCCATGAAAGCCTTCAACAATTCATCTGGTTTGAATGGAAGTCAGAGGTGATTCTGCTCAGCCTATGGGTGCCTCCCCTGCTTCTCTCACCTGGCTCCGTCAAGCAGTAAGAGGCCAGTTTTTCCATGCTGCAAAGCGAGGGGCAAAACCTCTGCCGCTGCTCCTCCTTCCCGAAGACGTCGACCATCCAAGCGCACATACTATCGGAAGGAGAACAAAACACATCACGGTGGGAATGGCCCAAGGTGAAACCCTACCCGAACCCCAAGCACTTGCTCGCTCACTTGTGGATGCTGAGATAGGCAGTCGTGCTGACGCATCCGGTCGAAAGAGCCTCGAAGATGATGGAGGTGTCAAGGCGTGACAGTCCGGATCCCCCCACGTCTGGCCTTACGTAGATGCCCCCGAACCCCAGCTGAGCCGCTCTCCGTAAGGTTTCCACGGGAAAAATCTCCTGCAGAAAAGCCACAAAATTATTGCATAACCAAAATCGATTCAAGGATCAGTGCATTTTAAACAAGGAGTTAGTATTCTATATTACTATATTGTACTATATCATTATACTGCAATATTATTAGTAATATTACATGTAATATATATAATATATAATTATTATATACAATTATATACACTGACATACAATGAAATTCTAAATGGCACTATATGGTCAGTATGTAGACTCATATAATGCCATTTAACTGCATTTATCTATTTATTTATTTATGACATTTATATCCTGCCCTTCTCACCGCAAAAGAGACTCAAAGCTGCTTCCAAGTTATATGTACATACAATGTATTATATTATTAGCATAGTGCAATATTAGTATTATATATTACTATATTATACTATATCATTATACTGCAACATTATTAGTAATATTAATTATATAACGGCGCTCCGTGCAGTCATGCCGGCCACATGACCTTGGAGGTGTCTACGGACAACGCTGGCTCTTCGGCTTAGGAATGGAGATGAGCACCACACCCCAGAGTCAGACATGACTGGACTTAATGTCAGGGGACTACCTTTACCTTATATATAATATTACTATACTGTAATAATATATTATTAGCATAGCACAATATTAGTATTCTATATTACTATATTGTACTATACCATTATACTGCAATATTATTAGTAATATTACATGTAATATATATATAATATAATTATTATATTACTATATTGTATTATGTGGGCCTACACTGACCATATAAGGTAGTTCCAAACTGCATTATACAGCAGTGTAGATCCACCCTGAGAGTTATAGTCCAAAGTTTCAAAAGTGGACCATCTTTCTGCACATAAGATAAAATGTCCTATATTTCAGCCTTGTCTTACATGCCTTGGAGTGGTCACTGAAGGAAAAGTGACACAACCTACAGAAGCTAACACTGATAAAGTGGGAGAAAAAAATGGATATCTAAAAAATATTTTCTGGTAAAAAGCAGCTCCAGAGAGCAAAGCTGGGCGGAGAGCCAAGCAGTACTTGCAAACAGCAGGTGCTGTGAAGGGCTGCTGACGCATATTATTACACCCTGTTATTGAAATGGGCATTTCTGGAAAGAGTTGTGCTCTCACCTTTTCATCCCACTCCGCCATGTGTGGGGCCATCTCTTTGGCAGCAAAATCAAAGGCCACTTTTTGGAACTCCTTCTGTTCTTCGGTGAGACCCACAGAGGCTGCGAGGCAAGAGGAAAGTGGTTTATTAAATAAATAAAAAGTAAATAAACTGGGC